TGTCTTACCTGTTCACATTCACATAGCGTATAAATGCTGTATGTCCGTATGTCTGCATCATCTTTTGATGCTTCAGTGTCTTTTGAAACAGAACGAAAACACATCATTTTAAATCAATATATTAACTTTATAAATATCAAAACATTCTGTTTATACATTTTATAAAACTGTGTTTACAAAAATGGTTTCTTCTGTAACAAAGGTTTATCATCTCATAGGACGAGCCAAAGGGGCAGTGTATAAATAAGCCTTATCAGTATGTCAGATTTAATTTTAAAGCTGTCAATACCAAGAGTTAAACTAGCTTTAACGATACATCAGTGTTCAAATGCACTTGAGCTCTAGATCTTGGCCATGTCTAGTTATGACCTTACTTTGACTCGGCTTGGCCATGATGTCGACTGCAAACAACCGGGGATAGGTTCCAATGTCTTGTTCGCTGGCGTATCTCGAAATCTGTCGCAGAAACTTCCTCTGGGCTAACTCAAACATTTCCTGTCAATTTTATTAGAATTATTTTAATGAATTTCTTCAGTTGTGATTAAAAAATCCATCATCGGATTTGCAGTGATAACGATTCCACCAGTCAATGCTTACATGTATATAGTTGTAGCTGTTTATATGCTCTGCAGATTTAAGGGTTCCTAATGATCTGAATGAAGTTCTTTGCTTCCAACTTGTATGGATACATAGCTTGACCAATTAAATTGCTGCAAAGCTGTTTAAATAGATTGTTGATGTTTCAAAATTACATAAAAGAGGTTTCAAAAGACAATCATCGAGGTCAGTACCTGAAAAGAGATCTGAGCTTTTTCTGCATTAGCGAGTTCTATCTTCCTCTTTTTCTCATCAGCATCCTCCTGTCGTTCTGGCAGCATATTCTCCTTTACCAGGGTGAGCAGTTGCTTATGGGAAACGTTAGTTTGTTGCTGGAAATCAACAGTAGGGAAGGAATTGGCATGGAAACCAACCTGGAATAAAATTTAATTTGTCAAACATGCTAATTTCTCAAACAAGGAATATAAATTCATCTGTTAAACGTGTCAAAGACCCAAACAAGGCATACAAAGTCATCTGTCAAACATATATATTATATATGCTTTTATGGATATTATAAGTAACCTCTCAGTAGAAAATTATCAATCAATTTCAGGAACTAACTCATGAGATTTTTATAATAATTATTACAAATCAAACGACCTCTGACTGTTTCCAGGCATTCCCAGTCCCAACAACAGCAACGACAATCGGCAATTTGAGTTGTACAGCAAACCGAATTTCTTTACAGCAGTTTTCGGAGAGGGCGTACTCATCGGAAACACAGGCCACCATGATGCGTGACTCTGACAGACCCTTGGCTAATCTATGGAACAGCTGGTCATTCTGTGAGATAGAGAAAAAATCATAATATTTAAAGGGAAAAAATCTAATATTAATCCATTGTTTTAACAACACAGATGTCTGTATATATCATCTCTATATGTCAAAGGAGGATCCACTGTCTCCTGATGAATACCAAGGCCACATTCGATTATTGCAATCCAAACGGTTGAACCTGTTGGACCAGAGTTGTTCTTTTATGAAATAAGGTTTGACCTAGTAATCTGATGCTGCTTTCAGACGAGCCTTAACAAAGCCTTGCAAGGCCTATATAAACATTTGTAGGTCTGCCAGGATTTGTATACGAAAATGTTACATTTGAAAACAGACCAACAGGTTGAACTGGATACATGAAAGGGGCCCAATAATTTTTCAAGAATGCAGTGCAACGAAATGTTTACCCCATAAGCTGGAATATAGTAAAACATGTTGAGTTGAATGAATACTAACCACATTCATCTGTTCAATGTCTAACCAACATGGAACACCCTTCTTCTCCAAGAACGCCTTGATCTCTCGAGGATCACCATATCCCAGCGCTTCTTCCTTTTTACTAAAAACAACAATTCCACCCAACTTTAAAGAATCATTGGAATAAAGCAACAAGAGGTTATAAAGGATCTGTTTTTTTGCTGTATGAAGTGAAAGATTATCATCCAAATTCATTAATTTGTAAAAGTTGTTTTCCTAGCTAGGACAAAAAATGCTCAATAAGTGAGCCTATTGTCATTTCTTAAGAAGTTGTTTAAAGAAAGATGACACCAGACAGACAAATGGACAGATGTTGTATCAACATATTATTTCAAAGATATATTTTGCAGACTGAGTAAAAACCTTGTTGATTGGTAAGCTGTACTTACTTTGAGCCAAGCGCGACAGCCTGTTGGGAGTTCACCCATGCGTAGCTAATGAAACAAGCATTGCTACTAGTGTCCTGCTTCCCAACATGTAGCTGGTCATTCTTCTGTAGTGCGGACAGTAATTCATCAAACTTAGATTTGTACGCAGCCTTCTTAGAGTTGACCATGTTAACAAAAATCTGTAAAATAAAATGTTCATCTTACCAAAAAATAAAATGTTCATCTTACCAAAAAACAGAAACAAGTGGCCCTTGTGGCCTGTACGGTCACCTGAGCAAAAAAACTCATCTTACCAAAGAACTCCAAAAACAAACGGAAATTCTGTCAGCATGATCACTACCATTAACTCAATCAGCCCTGAAGACATATTTGAACTCTTTCCAGTTCAGAGGTAGGAATAGTTCATTATGAAATTTCAGGGGTGAATGAGATAACTGGTCTATTCAGTAACAGAATATTGTTACCAATGGTGTTTTTTTTTGTGGATTGAGCTAAAGGAAATATATACCATCTTTTATCTTATCACTGATGTTTTTGCTAAGCTGACAGTTCATGATCATTGTGCCTGGCAGACTAAAATGAGTATAAATACTACCTACCACATCACTGATAAAGTAACCAGCCTACAATGAG